AAAAATAAAGAGCTAATTTATTAATCATAAGTTGAAACAGTTACAATAAAGATTCATAGAATCATAAAACATTCTTTACAGTCAGACATAGAAATAACTTTCTTAGCAATGTTAAAAGAAACTTGAATCGCAAACTGTGTTACAAGATTGAAACTAAATTCATTGGAGGAACCTGAAGCTTCTTTGATGTTGTTAATAATCTGGCTATCCAAGACTGACTCTGTTTGAGAAATCTTGCATACCACCTGAGTAACTATTGCAGCTCTTATGTCCGTAGATAATATCTTCATTAATCTGAACTGCATATCATGGTTCAGATCTTCTTCGTCGCTCAGTATGAGATAAACATACGCCATGATCAATTAAATCGTTTCACCTTAAGAAAAAAGAACTCGCCAAAGAAACGAGAGGGAATAACTTGCCAAAGAAGCGAGAGGAAATAACTTGTCAAAATAACTGATGGAAAAAGTGAAAAACACAGATCTTTAGATAAAAAAACAGAACTCCACGCCTTATTTTGTCAAGAAAACACCACGCCTTCTTGTCCTTGATCAAAGCACAGAACTTCTTGACCTTTTTCAGAACTCAAAGCCTTCCTTACCTAGATTCAAGAAAAGAACACTGACACAACCTTCTTTTCCCTTTTTGTTGAAAAATAAGCGTTGACAATGGTGAGGGGCTTCTTGATTAGATTTGATGGTGAAAGTTGTGAAACTAAAAAACAAATTACAAAGGAACTACGAAAGTATGAAATCGCCGGCCAAAGACAGAATCGGCGTTTATAAAATTAAAATTTACTTTAAAAATTAGAAATTTACAATATTAATTTTAAAATTTTCAACTTTGGAAGTTAAAAACAATTACAACTTGCAGACTCACACGTTAAAACATGAAATTTTAAATTACTACATTAAGAACAATGTTGTTCAAGACATAAGTGTAACTGTCTCTTTTCTATAATTGGTTGCAGGGTCATGTGCCCTTTAAATGTGTTTTCTTTTTAAACAGGTCATACTTGTGTAAGATCGTATCACGAATTTTTTAACTTACAATTTTAGCTTACAAGTAAAAAAAAAAAAAAAAAAAAAAAAAAAAAAGTTGATGTGGCCTAGGTTGGAGTGGTATCAAATTCATTTATCACATTATATATTAAAAAAATTTAAAGCAATTAAATAGTATTAACGTGATCCTTGTGTATATGAGCTGAGATTAATGCGAATCGTCAAAACACATGGATACAACTGTGTATGTTCAATTTAAAATTGCTGATCGAGGAGAATCACACCTTAATTTTTCAATTATATTTAATTTGGGGTTCCAATACATGTTTGGGCACGTAATCTGTGTTTAACTCTGAATATATAGGTAGATTAATATACAGTGTGATACACACCTAATAAAATATCAAACCAAATAATCTTATATATAAATGGTTGGTTGACTGCCTTACAATAATGTCATCAGTTTTGTGGCATATTATTGTATAGTGCGTGGGAGACACATCTGTGAGATTTGTCTCACAGATCCTTATTCCTGAGACGGGTAGAGTCGCGTCAATATGAAAATGTAATACTTTTACAGAAAAATGTAATACTAATCAAGAATAAAATGTTTATTACATATAAGGAAAAGTGTAATACTTTTGAGTAAAAATGTAATACATTATTGGATGTTGGATGGAAATTTCAACTAACTTTCAGTCCATTTCTCATTAGTAATGGAAAATTGTGATTTTTAACAAATTAAAGTACCGACCAGACTTTTTGTTGTACGGAAATGTTGGTTAGAAATGGCGAGCATTCCCGCAATGAAGTGGAAAGGAGAAGAGTGAAATAATTGAGAAATCACATCATCCTCAAACTGCTATAAAAATTCTTATTTACTTTATACATTTCAATTTATTAATATCATACTTTTTTTTTTTTAACAGAGTGAGTCTTTTGTGAGATCATATCACGGATCATTATCTGCGAGACGAGTCGGGTAATGATAGAAATGTAATACTTATGTTGGAAAATCTAATACTAATCAAGAATAAATTGTTTGTTACTTATAAGAAAAAATATAATATTTTTGAGAAAAAATGTAATACTTTAAAATCAAAATGTAATATTTAGGGTTGAATAGTTCTTTTAAAAAAAATGTAATACTTATGATGAAATTAAAATGTGATACTTTTGATAAAAAAAAAATGTAATACTTTTAAATCAAAGTAATATTAAGAGTTGAAGGGTTACTTATGATGAAAAATTATAATATTTATGTGGAAAAATGTAATACTTATAAAAAACAAGACCTTATCGTCTCATGAATAAGTTAAGGTTATGTGAGATGGTCTCATAAAAGAAGTTTTCTTTTGAACATTTTCAAGTTTTTATTTTTTAAGGTGTACCCTCACGGAATCGTAGGTACTTCTCTTTGATGAGATAGCTGGCATGGAGATTTTCAAGTTGTTATAAGTACTAAGCGTGCTAACAAATATTTCCAACCTGCAACCAAAAGTTTTCTTGACTAATTAGTTAAACTTTCAACATAGCTTTTCAGATAATGTTGAGAAATTAACTTGTGAAGTCAACCTATGAACTTTTGGTTTACTTTATTTTGAAAATTTTTTAATATCCAAATAAGTCAATTCACACTCTCCACCACTACCACAACCACACAACCACTAATAATAATAATAATAATAATAATAATAATAATAATAATAATAATAATAATAATAATAATAACAATAATAAAAATAATAATAATAATAATAATAATAATAATAATAGGGAAAATGGCACTTTTTCCCCCTATGTTGTTTACTAATAGCACATTTTCCCCCTGTGTTGTTTATGTAACCACTTTATCCCCCTCAATTGTTTTTGAAGTGGCTATTTTTCTCCCTCTCCGTTAAGTAAGTGTTAGGGCTGTTAAATATGAGGGTAAAAATGACATTTCACTTATTATTATTATTATTATTATTATTATCATTATAATAATAATAATAATAATAATAATAATAATAATAATAATAATAATAATAAGTCACACCCAACGCCCGAATATATTGCAGTACTCCACGTCTAAAATGCACATTTATATTGCAAACCAAATTCATTACTAATAATAATAATAATAATAATAATAATAATAATAATAATAATAATAATAATAATAATAATAATAATAATAAGTGAAATGCCATTTTTACCCTCATATTTAACATCCCTAACACTTATTTAATGGAGAGGGGAGAAAATAGCCACTTCAAAAACAATTGAGGGGGATAAAGTGATTACATAAACAACACAGGGGGGAAAAGTGCTATTAGTAAACAACACAGGGGAAAAAGTGCCATTTTCCCATAATAATAATAATAATAATAATAATAATAATAATAATAATAATAATAATAATAATAATAATAATTATTATTATTATTATTATTATTATTATTATTATTATTATTATTATTATTATTATTACCAGGAAAATAAATCAAACAGAAAAAATGAATAAAATTTCTTAACTTTCAACTAAACAGAAAAATATAGTTTTCTGACATTCAACTAAACATTAGAAAATAAAATTATTTTTCAGATAAGAAGTCATTCTCTGAAAATCATTTTCCAAAAAATATTTTTTAAATTTTTTAAACGGACCATAAGTATTGTTTAAAGTAGCAAGATCTAGTCATTCAAAAACTCAAAAGCTTCATATATAGCTAATCCAATTCATTCATAGTCTTTAGTTGGAGGAAAATTCAACATTGGGTTGATTATTGTAGTATATCTCTACAAGGAGTTGTAGAAAGAGACATAATAGTAAGCTTGTTGAAGTGTTGCATGCGAAAACATTGCAAACTATGTGCTATCTTTGTCGTTAAAGCATAAATTTGTTTTCACTTGTGTTATAAGGCGAACAAAGTTACTAGTGAAAGATACTCCTAATGGTAAGGAGAAGAGTGGGATACAGAAATTATACCATCATCAAACCACTATAAAAATTCTTTATCTAATTTTCTTTATGCATTTCAATTTATCACATATCATACTTATTACTCCATCGTCCGTCCTATTTTGTTTATCTTATTCAGTTAATGATACTTGATTAAAGTTATTTTTAATTCAATTTTTTATAATATTAAATTTATAAGTATTAGTATATAATTAAAATTTATATATTTTGAAACTACATAAAAATAACTATTAAACACAAAAAAAAAAAATTTAAAAATAATTAAAAATTACTAAAGAAAATAAGCAATGAAGAAAGAGTTGATTTAATCAATGAATAGTAAACATGATATGCAAAATGTGACAAAGGGAATATTTTTTTAACATTTTCAAATTTTTATAAGCGCTAAGTGTGATAACAAATATTTCTGATGTGCATTAATTTTGACCAAATTTTGTCTTGACTAATTAGTTAAACTTTCACTATAGCCTTTCTAGGTATTGTTAAGAAATTAACTTGTGAAGTCAACCTATAAACTTTTAGCTTACTTTATTTCATAAAGTCTTTAAAATCCAAATCATCCCCTCCCCCCTCCCCTTCTTCGCACGTACTCAATTTAACCGGGACCATCAATATCCCATTCTCTTTTTTAAAAATATATTAAACGGGTTTTAGGATGATTTTGAGCTAGTACCATATGAGTTGTGTCAAATGTGTTTGAAATAAGTTTAATTGGGTAATATTTATTTATGTTTGGTAATAATTCTAAATTTATTTAGTAGGTTTGGATTCCGAAATAGCGAAATAAGCAACAACCTACTTTTTATTATCCCTAATAACGTGCAAGGTAAGAAAATATTATATTTTATGTAATTATAGTAGTGTCAAAAAAAAAAAAAAAAACTTGGCATTTAGCAACTTATAATAGTTAGTGGTGGTTATTTTAACAAATGAAACTTAAATCATGATATGTTAGCGACGGTTGTGTCAAATAAACTGTATTAAACAAAATCATATAATACAAAGATATTATAGGCAATTTAACCTACATTATTTTTTTTAATCAAAAAAAAGTCCGAGTTGACCCAGGAAGCCTAAGAGAGCGTGGCTCCACCCTAATAGACACGATTCTTCGAAAAAATTTTGAGTCACATTGATCTTTCCACATCATATTCTAAATATTTGCGGAGACATTCATCAAGATCCTGAGCCTCGTACCATGTGAAAGGGAGCAAGTAGCCAAAAAATTTGCTGCCTTGGTTTACATTTTTTTGAATGCTACTGACTCTGATCTATTACATTGTAGTACACTTTGGTTTACATTAATTTTATTCAAAACCATAAATTTATGGGGGTAGAGTATAAAATAATCTTTAACACAAATAATTATTTTTGATATTAATTACCCGATAGCATAACAATTTTTATTTTTTTTTAAAAAAGAATTTGATTAGTAAGGCCTAAACTTGGGAGGATCCTCTCCAAGCAAAAGTGCCCTGAATATGGCTTCACAAACATCGCCGTCGTAGACAAGACAGTGGCCGCCTTCTGGGACTTCATAGTACCGAATCCAACGTAGTTTTCTTGCAACATATCTCTGTAAATCCACGCTTATGAACCTGTCCTGGCAACCCTGCCATATCTGTACCGACCCTTTCTTCTCCGGGAACGGATCGCTCATCTCCAATGGATCAAATTCCCATTTACTGAAAAACGCCAAGAAATCCGAGCATAGGTTGTCAAAAACTCTTTTGTCCTTCAGCTTTTCCTGCATTTTTCAATTCAATTATATTCTATTCAATTATATATATTATGTTAAGAGTATGTATGTATATATTACTGCAGTGGGGGTTTCATGGCCGTTGGGTGAATTCTTGATAAGTTCCAGATCCCTGTCGCTATAATTCTTGTTATTTCTTGAAGGGTTTAGAGTTGCCCACCATTGCCCCAAACTGGGAACATATTTTCCGATCCAGATTATGGCCCGGTAGATCATCTTCTTCCTCTGCTCGTTCTTGGTGAGGATGTCATCGGGGATGGAGGGCCACTGGTAGTTCACCGGTGGAACCACCATGGCCACCCCTAGTAGCTTCTGGGGAATCCGTTTAAGGCAGCCCCATGTGGGGTAAGATCCCATGGAATTGCTGATCAGATAAAACTTGGGTCCTAAGTTTAGCAGCTCCGCTACTTCCTCCACATCCAAACATTCTCTGCTCTGCGTGCGTTTGGGGTTGGGGTCACTCTCTCCATATCCGGCTCTATCGAATAGGACTAAGTACACCCCCAGCTCCTTCATCAACTCCTACTTCAATCAAACAATAAGATTAGATTATATTAGACTAGATTTGTTGGGCAGAGACCGCTGAAGCACTGCTGAAAATCTCGCTATTTCCGTCCAACAAAAGTATTGGTCGGAAATTTGTAAAAAATCACATGGAATGACGGAAAGTTGGACGGAATTTCCGTCCAACGCGCGAGTGTTTGGACGGAAATTTCATCCAATGCGAGTGTTTGGACAGAATTTTTTAACCGATACTAAAATATTCGACGGAGACTGAAAGGGTCAAGTGTATCATGCCATTAAAAAATGTGACTGTATAAAGAAATAAAGTGACCTAATGGTACGTGTTTGATCTAACAAATTGTATCGGAAACAGGACAAATTGTGTTAGAAAAATTATTGAGTAGATGTTTGAAAGACCTGTAAATCCACTAAATTGGATCTTCCCTATATTTTTGGTGCAGTAATAAGTGCTTGATTCTAACAGAAATACAAAACAAAATATACTAACTTGAGGTGCCATGAAGTTCATGTCTTTGGAGCTGTCGAAGCCATGAACCACAAGAACTTTGTAGCTGGCCTCATCTCTGGGAACACCTTTTTCTATGTAAGCTATACATCTTCCGTCGCTCAATCTCAACTTTTTTGATGAACCATGAAGCTTCCGGTTGTCATCGGCGGCACGTTCCGGCTGGTGGTCGGAGGAGTTGCAGCTCGGAGCTTCGGAAGCCGACATCACCTGATTTCTTGGAACCCTTAAATTAGCTTTATTTACTCCACCTCAATTAAAAGATTGGTTGCTTTTGTAGTTGTCTATTACACCCAACCAAAATAAATAAATGAATTAATTAAATAATAAACGTGAATCACAATCGACAATTTCACATTTCTTTCTTGTTTTTGGCTACAAATTGGACTTAAAAAATTTGTCATGTACATCAAGCTTTCTGTAAATGAAAATGCATTGATTATTCAAGTTTTTTTTTTCTTTTTAAATTATAGTATTTAAGGTAGAGATTTTAAAACGTGGGGTGATTGAGTAGAAGAGACTTATTCATCATTAACTAAAATTTAAGGATTCAATCTTTGACTTTAAGTATGAAACAACCCTAAAAGAGGTGACTACAATTTAGGGAAGAGATTAGTTGGATGGTGAAAACCTTGGGTTCACTCAACCAGGGCATACTATATATATACATATACATGTAATTAATTGTACGTAAAGCCAAACTGGCAATATGTTTAAAATAAAATTTGACATTATACACGAAAAAAGTAAAAAGTTTTTACGATCATCACTATCCCCTTCTCCTTTTCTGTTTTCTTTGTTTCTCTATTTTGTTTTTCTCTCTTCTTTGGCTTCTCTTCATTTTGTTGTTTCTTCATTTCTTTCTATTGTTTCTCCCTGTTCCTCTTTGTTCTCTGATTTCTCCTCTTTGTTGTTTCTCCTTTCTTTCTCTGTTCCTTGTTTAAATTTCTGTCACTTCCCTCTTTGCTATTCCCCTTTCTTTGTCTGATTTCTTGTGACGGATGATGCATCTTTTAGCAGACTTAATTGAGGTTTTGGTTGTGAAAGCTAAGGTTGGAGTTTCAGTTGAGTAGACGTCAAAGGAAGAGCACGCTTATGTGAGTGCTGGCAGTGTTCCAAAATGAACAAGGGTATTTGCATTCGGGCCTTTATTGGTTTGGGTTAATTTAATGGTCAACCATTATATCGTACACCAGGACAATGCATTATGCGTCCGCGTTGGGACGTTGTTTTGTTAAGTTGTGTAGGGAGTTGACTCAACCAACACAGTTTTAGGTGTATTATGTTAAGAGTTGATGTGTAATATGTTAATGGCCCGTTTGGTTCACCGAATATGTCGGGAATGGCATAACATTCCCAGTAATGGGCCTATTCATTTGTTTGGTAACCGTTTCTATTACCAGGAATAATATTCCTAGTAATAGCCCATTTCTCCAAATAAGGTAATAGTTATTACCTGGTGCGGATAGTTATGTTGTGCATCCGTATGCACCATGCATGGTGCATACAGATGCCAAAACGACGTCGTTTTATTAAAAAACGCGCGTCCCCCCTTTAAAAAAAATTCAGGTTCGATTCCCAGCAACAACATTATATTGTTCATTCATTCTGGAATTTTAGTTCATAGATTATAGAATTATAGTTCATTGATTATGGAATTATAGTTCATCGATTATGGAATTGTAGTTCGTCGATTCTGAAATTTTAGTTTATAGATTATGGAATTTTAGTTCGTTCATTCTGGAATTTTTAGTTCATAGATTAGATTATGGAATTATAGTTCATCGATTATGGAATTATAGTTCATCGATTATGGAATTTTAGTTCATATGTTGTTGCTGGGAATCGAACCTGATTTTTTTTTTTAAGGGGAGACGCGCGTTTTATTAAAACGACGTCGTTTTTGCATCCGTATGCACCATGCATGGTGCATACGGATGCACAGCATAATTTGTCACCTGGTGCCCCCTGGAATAGCCTAAAGTTTCTATTTCCTATTTTACTTCCCAAATAAATTTATTTCTTATTTCACCATCATCACCACCGCCATCCCACCACCCCATTGCCACCAACACCACCACCCCACCAGCACCGCCGCCACCACCACCGCCACCATTGCCACCACCACATATTTTTATAAAGGTATTTATGTGTTTTAAAAAATATTTCATTTCTATTCCTTAAACCAACCAAACACTGTAATATAATTCCTAAAGTCTATTCCTTTCGCGAACCAAACAATAGAATACAATTCTTATTCTATTCCTTGCCTATTCCATTCCTTATGGAATAGCATTCCTACTACCTCAAAATTCATTCCGTGAACTAAACGTGCTGTATGAGTTAAGAGTTTGGCTATGTTTGGCAAACCTAGCTGAAAAGGTAGCTGAAAACTTAAAAGGAGCTAAAAGCTGAAAAGCTATAAGCTAGGAGCTGAAAAGTGAAGATCAACTGTTAAACTAGTTATGCTTGAAAGTGTTTGGTAAAATTAGCTTTTTGATAAGTTGATAAATATAAAAAGACAAAAAAGGACATCTTCATAAAATTTAAATTAATTTGTTTACATATTAAAATTTAACATTTTGTCTTCAAAATAAAATTAACATTATTTTGAAATAAAATTATTAGCATAATAATGATTTAGCATCCCAGAATGAAGTAACAATATTATTGTTACGAATCTCCTTCATCTAATAATAATAATAATAATAACAATAATAATAATAATAATAATAACTTTCAAAAAATAATAATAATAATAATAATAATAATAATAATAATAATAATAAAATAAATCAATAAAATATACACATGGCTTATTTGCGAAACATGTTGTTAACCTGCTAAAAATGATAATTATTTTTTTTTTCCGGTTCAAAGATGAATTTAGAGCGTATTTGAGTTCGATGGTTTAATTGTTATCCCCAAATAATTTAATGGCCTATTTGTACCTTTTCTTAATTTAATTAAAAATTGAATTTGTCTTGATACCATTTAAAAATATATAACCCCACAAATGATTATTTCCTGATGCGCGTTTTTAGTTTTTCATTCATTAATAATTACAACCATAATAGTTTGAGGTACAAAATTGCATTATAAAAAGAGTTCTACTACATAGACTCCCAAAATTTTACTATCTCATTTATACTTTCTAAAGTGACAAACTAAGATTAGTTATTTTTATCATATAGATCCATATAAAAATGTCTATATCAAGAGCATGTAAGAAAACATATAAGTTGAGAGTTTAAAATGTGAGTACACCAAGTATTTTCCTTATAAAAATATGAAAAGTTAACCGGAAAGTGGAACTTGTCCTTTATATCATTTTTGAAGTATAAAATCTCACACGCAATATTGAAATGGACAGCGTTGGTTTCAATCAAAATTTGTGTGAGACCCGCTCACGAATCTTTATTCTTGAGATTTGTTAGGTTGTAGACAACTTATTAAGATACTTAATGAACGTACACTTTGTAAATATCACAATTTCAATTATATATAGGTACTATTTTTTTACGCGCATGAGATAATGCCCAATGATTATTTTTAAATAAGTATTTCAAAGTATATCAATGCAATATTATATAAGAGATGTTTATACATAGGTAAATAAATGTTGAATTTGTTTATTTAAATCGGTAATTTAAAGTATATAAATTCAAGATAATATATGAGAGATTGATTATAATTGTCAATAAAATAAATGTTTGCTACTTTTTAATAACGCTAGTCTAAATACTTAGTCTTAAAGCGATAGTCTAAATAAATACTACTTTTGGTTTAAATTTCTCTAATTCTTCTTAATTCTCTTTTGGGTTGCATTGTCATTGTTTTCATCTTCATTACATGTCCTCTCTGTTTTTTTTTTTTTTTTTATTGGTAGTGTGTCATGTGCAATTAGCTAGATATTACTGGTGGCAGCATAGATGGATTCATCATGCAATAAGATTATGGTGTAGAAAGCTTTAGATTTGTCTTGCTGTGTATATGACTGATATTTTAGTTGCAATATGAACTTTTTATTATCTTACAAACACCTATTGATATTTAGTAGTGGTAGTTTTTCCCTTACAAGTTTCATGTGTTGTGAGATGTGTGTCGTAGGTTATTATGTGAAAGTATTGAACAAAATATTAATATTTATTATATTTGTATAAAATACTTGGTAAATAAATATATATAACATATTTTGTATTATAACATTGATATTTAATTACAAGATAATGTAAAAAGTAGACAATGAACAATATAATAAATATAATAAATTAATAAATTTGAAGGTAAGGAATTTTTGAATTGTAGAAAACTAAAGATAATATAACTAATGAAATTATATTTTTTTAAAAATTTTTTATAATGAATAATATTTTTAAATATAGCATTATAGACATCTAATTCTAAATTAATTAAATGCACATGTATTATTTTTTGTTGTATCTATTAATTTATTTAATTTAATAAGAGTAATAAAGTGCCCACATAGTTTTCATGAACAATAATGAAATCAATGATTTTTTTTAAATTTCCATTCCTTGTTGAGACAAATTGTGTTGAGAGTTTGTCAATGACAATTGCTACACTTGTTGTCAATAGAGGATGATAATAAATAATTCAAAATATATGGTTACAATAGATATCGTTATAATGATATAGTAAAAATTAACTTACAAATTTCTTTAGAAGTTTTCATGCATTGATAAAATTTGATGTGTAAACTTGTTCAATTGGAGCTAGTAGGATGTTAACATTGTCAATTATCCTACCGTTTTAGAGTCCATGTGTAATTGTATTTATTATCAACAACTTTGTAGTTAGGCCGCACAGATCTGACAATGATGTAAGAACAATTTTGTCCGATAAAAAAATAAGAGTATAATATTTTTAAAGTAATGTACAATTGTACCATTATAAAAAAAATTACAAAAAATATTAATGTCATAATGACCTAAATCATTCCAATAATGCAAAAACATAATTGAAATATTAAGTTTTGTTCTAAATAATCAAAAGAAGATTAATTAAACATAATAAAAAAACAACTTAACCTAAATTTGTTTTTAAAAAAAAAAGAGTAAATACCCAAAATAGTCCCTCGACTATAGCTAAATTCACAAATTGGTCCTTGACTTTCAATTTCAACCAATTAAGTCCTTAACTTTGTAATTTTAACACAATTTGGTCCTCTGTCTATTTGACCGTTTGTTGACTGTGATTTTTAAGGATATATATGTAATTTCATGGT